GGACTCTTTCTTGCCCACAGCCTTTTGAAACTGTAATAGAACAACCTTTTTCAAACTTTAATGAGCATACAGATTACTTGGGGATTTTGTAAACATGTAGATTCTTACAGAGGTTTTGGAATAGGCCTGAGATGCTGCTTTCTAACAAGCTCCCCAGATAATTTGAATGTAGCTAGTACTTAGACCATACCTAGTAGTGAAATTATGGAATGTTCCATTAAGTGATATTCAATCCCTCTGTCAGTACACTATAAACATTTGGGTATTTTTTGGTTTTCTTTTTTTAATAATATGCCTTGGCTCTATCTCAGAGCACTTAAATCAGATCTCTGGCATTAATGTTCTGGGCATCATCATCGTGTTTGTAAAAAACAGTCTAGATCATTTTCACGTGTAAACAGCATTAAGAACTACTACTTTAGTGATTGGAAGGAGAGTCAGTAAGTTAAGAAGCTCCATTTTATGTCTTCATTTACTTTATCTTCTGTCATTTTAAACATCTATAGGGATGATGAAGCATTTTGGGTCAGAACTCTTAAACTGGGGGACAGCTAATATGTTGGTTTAACGTTTTCACTAGACTGAGCTAAAAAGTTTGACTCCTTGAACCTTTCTTCATGGATTCTATTTCCTGTTACTTTCATCATTTTTGTAATCTTTGGGTTCTCCCTAATTTCTCAACAGCTCCCTGAAAGTGTAGTAACTCAAACTCAGTATAAAACTACTTCAACAAAACTAAACGATGGCAGAGGCAAAAGAATAAAGTTCCTTCCACTTCTTATACTGTGTGATTATTGTAATATTTAAGGGGGAAAACTTGTATTTGTTTCAGACTTTTTATTGGCCTTTTCTTTATGCTTTTGGTGGCTAAAATGTGTTTTCTACCATGATAGTTGTTTCAATATATTACTCTTCTTAGGTTGTGTTTCCTCTTCCTTCTTTCTCAACTGTACTTCTTGCATCCATTTCTCATCTTGCACCTATTTGGGGGGAGAGACAGTAAATATTTTCTCATGGACTATCATGTTTTGGGAAAATAGTTTTCCATAGTGATTAAGATCATGCTGAAGTTTATTCCATCTAGTAATGGTGTAACAGTTAGAATCTGACAGGGATACAATCCACACTAGATATTTTTGTCAAGAAAATTTAATATAGGGATTGCGTTATATAGGTGTTGGAGGGCTGAACAAGCAAAAGGGAAACACGGGAGTAGCACAGAGATAATAATTGCAGAAAGCAGCAACCATCTATAGGGCTGGGGGGAGAAAGAAGAGCTTGGAGTAGAGTTGGGGCTCAAAACCTCTGGAGAGTGGGTACTGCTTGGATGCAGCTGTACTTCTGAGGGGTATACTTCAGAGAGTGCCAGAAAAAACTGGTGGGTGTCACCACTTGCTGTTGGTGGGGTGGACTGCCTATGCTGGGACAATGCTGACTGGGAAAAGCAAGTTTCTCAGTCTAGTGCCCTTACTGGAAGTAGGAGGAAGGTAGCTGGCAAAAGAGAGTTCTGTTTTCAGCATTACTGAGCTGAGTATTAAAGGGTGAATTTGGAACAGAGACAATAGCTGAATAACCAGTACATCTAGCCTTCTCCTCTTCAGGCTACATGATGGCATAGGCTTTTGGTCTCCTGGTCTCTTTCATAGCCACTGGGACCCCACATACTCTTAGTGTCTAGGATTTGGAATGAAAGGATTTGTTAGTTTAAAATTAACTTGTTAATGTGATTTGGGAGCATGAGACAGGGCCACATGCTCTAAGATAACTTGGTCACAGCCTTTCTTGGAACCTGAGATTTATTCATTAGATACACATTCCTTTGGGTCTCCAGGGGTTTCTGTTTTTCAAGATTTATTTAAAAAATTAAGAAAAAAATTGTGGTGGGAATAATGATTCTGTAAACCATAGGTTAAAAATTGGTTGCTTATTGGTCCAACAGTGGACTGCAGTGGGAATCAGTCTTTGAACATATTATACCTTCTCTCTCAAATTTTAATATGTACATGAATTATCTGGGAATGTTGTTAAAATGCAGATTCTGATTGAATATGCCCCTGGATAGAGCCTGAGATCCTGCATTTTTAATAAGCTCTCAGGGGAGGCTGCAGTTACTGGTCCCTAGATAAGACCTTTTTTCTTCCTCCCTGCTTTGAGAACCACTGGTCTGGCTTGGCTCCCCTTTGGACTTGAGTTCCAGTGGTTGAATGGCAAGTGATCATAAAGTAACTTTCTTGCAAGCTTGCCTAACTTTCTAGAAATATTTTGAGCAATCTTAGTAGAGGTATTAATAGCTATTGGGCTGTCGGAAAAGTCATGACGCATGTTTGCGACAGACGGCACTAGTTCATTTTTGGAAGCACTTAGAGTCATTCGCATCTATGTTATTGCTATGTCATTTGACAGCTGACAGTTCTAGCTTCATTTTAAAAAAATAATTGAGTGATCTGGTTGAGTTTTGGATATTTTACAACAAGTTGAAGATGGAAGACCAAACTGAATTTTTGCCATATTTTACTGTTTTACTTCCATAAAGGGAAGAATGCTCATCAAGCTTGTGAAAAGTTGCATAAAGTTTATGGTGACAATGCTCTACAAGAATGTCAGTGCCAACGATGGTTCACGAAATTCCGTGCTGGTGATTTTGATCTCAACGACGCTCAGTCAGGGAGGCCCACTGAGGTTGATGATGACAAAATAAAGGCATTGATAGAGTCAAACCCATGTTACACGACATGAGAGATTGCAGAAACATTGAACACCCAACATTCAAGCATTCATGACCACCTGAAGAAGCTGGCATATGTAAGCAAGCTCGATATTTGGGTTCCGCATGAACTCAAAGAAGTTCATTTGACAGCACATGTAAACATCTACAGTATGCTCATTAAACGTGAGGAAACGATTTTTTTTTGAAGCAACTGATAACTGGTGATGAGAAGTGGATTGTTTACAACAATGTGGTGCACAAACGGTCTTGGTACCGACGTGATGATTCTCCTCAAATGACATCGAAAGCAGACATTCATCAGAGGACGGTTATGCTCTCAGTGTGGTGGAATTTTAAAGGAGTCGTGTTTTTCGAGCTCCTACCAAGGAACCAAACAATCAGTTTGAATGTGTACTGTCGGCAGTTGGACAGTTTGAATGAATCCGTCATTCAGAAACGTCCAGAGCTTGTTAAGTGTAAAGGAGTTGTGTTCCATCGTGACAACGCGAGACCACACACAAGTTTGATCACCCATCAAAAATTATTGGAGCTTGGATGGGATGTGTTGGCACACCCTCCATACTCGCCTGACCTTGCACCATCAGACTTCGACTTACTTCATTTCACTGTCTTCAAAACTCCTTGCATGGTATAACGTTCAATTCAGATGAGACTGTAAATCAGCACCTTGTTCAGTTTTTTGCAAATAAAGACAGGTGCTTCTATGGACAAGGAATTACGAAGCTCACTGAAAGATGGCAAAAGGTTATCGAACAAAACTGGCAATATATCATTGATTGATCTTTGTTCTTTATTTAAATAAATGACTTTGAAAAACATAGACAAAATACGTCATGACTTTTCCGACAACCCAATATTTATTTCCAGGTGGAAACAAAAGGGCATATGCCTCTGAATAGGTTGACTTTTCCTCCATAAATTTGATGCATTTGAAAATCTGTGCTTAATTTTTTTCTCCCCCAAAGCCTAACTATTAATAGCCTATGGTTGAGTGGAAACATAAACAGTCGATTATCACATATTTTATATGTATTATATGTTGTATTCTTAAAAGAAAGTAAGCTAGAGTAAAGGAAATATTAAGAAAATGTTGAGGAAGAGAAAATACATTTACAGTATTTATTGAATAAACTGTGTATAAGTGAACCCCCGCAATTTAAACCCATGTTGTTCAAAGATCATTGTAATTGTATTCCCTCACTTTTGACTCTTTCATATACTTAAGCTTGTTGTCAAAGTACAGGGTCTTGCCTTGAGCCAAATAAAGGGAACTTTGAATACAGCCCAAATTTATAAAGTTGATTATTCTTTGCATTTGGATTTTACTTTACCAAGGCATACCTGATTACATGAATAAAGTTAATCTTTTATTCAGTTGTCATCCTTCAAGATCCCCTTTCTGCCCCCTCCCTCCACTTCTACCAGAGCTTTACTATTGTATTCACAGACCTAGATTTTCAACTAGGTGTTTTTTGTCTTTTGGTGTTTTATATGAATGTTATCCTTAAATTTTTAATTTAGGCTATGGATAATAACTTAAGCTATGAATAGAGAATAAAATGTGTTTTCTAGCATGATGTTGGTATCTTTATCAGCTGAGGTGCAAGAGTTAAAGTGAAAGTTAACAATTCAGGGGATTCCTACAAAAAAGAAGGGTGGGGGGAAAAAGAAGCTCAATTTTAGGATCCTAAGCAAAGCATTTTGATTGGCATATAGAGACCCTTGCATGCACACAAACGTCCATATTTGAATATTTATAGAAGGTAATCTGTCAAAATTACTGTTATTTTAATTTGCTAAGCTTGGCTGATTGCTGCAGTTGGATGTTAGTTGAATTCTAGATGAGGAACTGTAAATATGATCTGGTGTGGGACATGCTTTTTGTCCTTGAAGCTGCATATTCCTGTCTCCTCCCCTCTCCCACATTTTTTTTTTTTAACAGTGGGGGCTTTTTGTATTAGCTGAACTTCCATGTTTTTTTTTTTTAGGAAAAAAAATTAAAGTAGGGTGATAACGATAAATATATAAAAAATTGTTTTAATTAAAAAACTATTGACATTTAGTGATCAAGAATTGTTTAAATCGAGTTAACTATTTGTCCAGTCTTTGTTTTAACAGAGCTATCCCTGGAGAGTTCCAACCTAGAGACATATATATCTCATTTGAATGGCCTGTGAGCTTTTGTGTGAGTTATGTTTCATGTTAACAACAAAGGAAATATATAATTGTAGATAATTAATGTTATCTTTTTCTTTTGTCTTATTTTGCACAGTTGATAATTTCAGTGACCCAGATTCAAGCAATCATATTTTTCTTTGGAGATAAATGGTTTCGTCAGCTTCGTATGTTCTAGGGGAAGGAAGGTAAGCTGTTTTTCACAGCCAATATTGAAATAACTTTGTTAATAAATCAAATTTTTCTCTTTTTAAAAGTTAGGAAACACTTCTCTCTTTAGTTACAGAAAACACTGTATTACTTATGGGTGCTCTATCACTATTCCCCAAAAGATTCCACTGAGAGTACATTATTTCATCTGTAGAGATGGTACACTGACTTTCTAAAAATCATATAACTTTTTTTTGAAGCAGGACTATATTCTGTGATCTATCTACTAGGCTATCTTGTCTCTTTTACATAGCTGTTCTCATCTGAATATTTCTTTTTTTTTTTTTTTAAAGATTTTTATTGGGGAATTGGGGGGATGGGAACAGTGCTGGGGAATTGGGAAAGGGGAACAGACAAGTTGCTGTCGTTTTGTTCTTCAATCTAGTTGTGGAGGACGTTGCTTCACTGGCCCAAGTTGGCACCATCAT